AGGACAGGTGGATCCTGGAGATGACAGGTGTGTCCAAATGGTCACAGGTGTGTCAAGGAGAAGACAGGTGAGTCCAAATGAGTGCAGGTGTGTCTAGGAAAAGACAGGTGTGTGCAGGAGAGGACAGGTGTGTCCAAATCAGGACAGGTATGTCCAGGAAAGGACAGGTGGATCCTGGAGATGACAGGTGTGTCCAAATGAGGACAGTTGTGTCCACATGATCACAGGTGTCCAGGTTATGTATGCCTTCAGGTGTTAGGTGTTAACCTTCTCTGCCGCCACATGTCTCGCTCTTGTCCTGCAAACTGAAGGACAAACAGGTTGTAATCAGTATCATCAATTAGCCAATCAGTGCTCACAGGTGAACAGTTAGCTGTTTATGTAGCGCTGGGAGGACGCATTGCTGTCCAGGTAAACCAGAAACCAGGACTGTTTGAAGATCTGCTTTATTTTGGATCTGTTTTATATGTTTTGTTTTACTAAAGATGAAAACCCAAACTGTAAGATAAACCAAGCTAATCAACAAAAAGAGAAGAACACTCAGCTGGCATGAGAAACTAGTCTCTATAAGGAGCTGATCTCAACAAGGGTCCTCTGTTGGTGTTGATCCATCTTTGATCCGGTGCAGGTCCCTGTCCCCAGCCAGCCTGGGTCTAGTAGGGAGTGTTTGACTCTAATGGTTTGGTTTAAAACCTTCCCACTAGTGGCCCTCTAAAGGTGACTCTGTAGGGTTCTGGTAGAACCCATGCTGCTCCGGTTCTGATGGCAGGTCAACAGCCCCAGATAACCCAGTCCAGCCTGAATGTCCTCCATGGTGCTGAGAAGATGCTGGGAGACGGAGAATCTTCTGGATAGAGAACATACTTCCCTGGTGGAGCTTCAGGGTCCCAGAGATATTTTGTCTATTAATCTCTGATTGAAATATTTTTAGAGAAGAAGAAGACTGGCCTGTTCTCCATCTGGGTCCATTCAAGGTTCTGTTGGGACAGCGCTAACTGGGTCGATTCTAACCTCCACAGCAGAATGGTGGGTTCTCAATCGCTTCTGTTCAAGCAACATTCTGGGTCAGTTTAACTAAGTGTTTGAAAGATCAGAACCAGAACTGGTCCTATGCAGAGGCCAAGCCACTAGGTGAAGACCTGGTTTCCAGATCTGCAGCCATGACTCACAAACAGAACCAACACCAGAACCAGAACTGGGCTGTGTGTGTGTTACCATCATTACTGGCAAAGTGAGGACATTTCCTGGTCCTCTATGCTTTAGGTTAGAGGTTCAGGAATAGTTTGGATCAGGTTTTAGTTGAGGAACCGGGTGTACCGGCGATGGTTTGGATCGGGCCACAGGATGGCTTACAACTGGAAGGAAGGTTCTCAGAGTGTATGGTGATATGAGAAGGCGTGTCCTTACCCTGCGGGGAGAAGATGGTGGTGAAGACCTGGAGCTGCTCGTCTCGGTGGCTGTAGATCTGCTGCATGGTGTGAGCTGCTTCTCTCTGAGGGAGCCTTTAAATACCTGCACTGGTAATCCCTCACACACACACACACCAACACACACACACACACACACACACAC